GCGCTGGCCCCAGGGTGCCGTGCCACCTCTGCGGCAGGCGCGACCTCCTCCCAAGGCTCGAGGAGCCAGGGGCCCGGCGGAGTGGAGAGCGGCCCGCACCCCGCAAGCATCCAGCCTCTTTCGCGGCCTCAGTTTCCTCATCTGGAAAACAGGGCAGGTGGTGAGAGCTGATTCTTTTCTGCCCTGAGGCTGATACCTTGCTGGTCCAGGGGTCCTCCCCAGCTGATCCCAGGGCCAGGGAGGAAGGAGGGGGGCGCCGTGACCCCCGTTCTGCCCCTCTGCCCGGGGTGGCAGTGAACGGTCAAGGGCATCGATGGAAATCAGGCGCAGCCTGGCAGATGGTGAGGCAAGTCCCCAACAGGGAATGAGCGCTTCCCGAGACCACTGGTTCTCGATCTCGTGGATGGTGGGACGCCTGGGTGCTGGGATTTAGTGCCACCGATGACCCTAACGAGCGACCGAGATGGAAACGGCTGCCTTACGTGGCCCTCCCATGACACTCTGCTCCTTGACTTTGCCCCCCAGTCCGAGCTTCCGTCCGCTGGTCCCTGCTCTGCCTGGGGAGCTCGCCCCGAACTCCCGCCCCTGAGAAGGTTCCAGGGGAACACTGCTCCCCCTTGAAGCACCTGTGAGAGACGAGGAAGCTGGGCTTCCGGTGGGGCCCGGGTCGGGATGGCAGCCGGGATGGCGGCCAGCCCGGCCACAGACGCTCTCGCCGCCTCCCTTGGGGACGTGGAATGAGGACCCCCAGCCCCCCGGGTGGCCAGCGGGCGCGGGGCTGGGGGGTGGCATACCTCGTCGCAGACGTGCAGGGAGAAGATGACCGAGAGGATGCCCGTGGACGGGTACCGCCCGTGGCCCTGCAGCCAGCTGTCGAAGACGTACTTGATGAAGGCCGGGTGGTAGATGAGAATCTGCGGGGAAGAGCAGGGCCTGAGCGCGCGGCGGCTGGGGAAGGGGGCCACGCCCGTACAGGTGGCACGCGCGGCCGTGGCCACGGGGCGCACAGCGGGGAGCGGAGCTGACGCCCTTGCACTCATGGGGTTTATGTTCTCGTGGGAAAAGACAGAGACCTAAGTCTCAGACACAGCAGGTGCTGGGAGAGGACTCAGCGACCAGGGAGAGAAATAAAGCGGAGAAGGCGGTTGAGCCCTGGGTGGGGAGGCTGCAGGAGGAGGCTCCGCGGCCTGCGGTGGGGACAAGGAGGTTCCCGTCGCTGCAGCACACGCGCACGGAGCCAGCTGCCCCACCTGGTATGGGCCTGAATAAAATGACTTCCCGTGTTACCGACGAGGACACTGAGGCTCAGAGAGGCTTAGCACTGTGCTCAGTGTCACGCAGCCAGTGGCGGCCGAGCCGGGGGTGTCCTGGTGTCAGGTGTGCCTTGGTCCCATCACCCACAGCTGCCTGGAGCACAGTGAGGGGGGCTTCCCAGGCCGCAGAGGGTGTGCCCGTGCAGGGAGCCTAATGCAGCCCCTGGGAACAGCCTGAGTGAGGGGGTGAGGTTTATTCAGGGTGAACTCATCAGCCCCCAGCCTGGCCTCAGGGCACTGCCTCCCTGGGGGCTGTCCCTCCCATGGCTCTGCCCTGTAGATTCACAGGTGGCTTCCTTCCCGGGGGAGGTGTCTCCAGCAGGGGCTATGGCCTCCGGCAGCCGGGGTCCCGGCAAGACCCAGCATTCTATCATCCTGCAGAGCCTGACAAACGGGCCTGAGCTCAGGGCACGAGGGGCCCGAGCCTCCACTCACCTGATTCTTTTTCACTTTGATCTTCGAGGGCACAGGGACATAGGTGCTGCGGGGGAGAAAGCAGGCAGTTAATGTGGGGAGGCGGCCGGCTGTCTTCAGGCAGCTCTAAGGGCGGCACTGCAGAGGGCGGGGGCGAGGCAGGGCAGGCACACTGGGTTCTCAGCCCCTGCCACAGCCCGACCCTCCTGCAGCGGCACCCGTCGGACACTGGAGGGCGACCTTGGCTAATTCGAGGGCCTTCTGCTGTTCTGGGCCTCGTCCAGAGAGGTCAAGGGGGGAACTTGCTCCAAGCCCACACAGCCGGAAGGGGCACGGCGCAGGCCAGGGCACCTACCTCTACTGTTGGGGTGCTGGCTGATGAGGCCCACACTGCCCCCTTTTCACCTGCCAGGGTCTATGTGCCCCCAAGATGAAGGTCACCTGGTACAATTCACTCTGAAGCCCGTGGGACCAGGCCTCCCGGCTCCTCCTCAGCTGAGCCCGCTTCCTTCACTGCCCTTCTCCTGAGAGCACAGCCCCCCAGATTCTTGCACCTCAATTCTAACTGGGCATCGCACAAGGAGACTTTGGGCCATCTGGACATTGGATCCACTCATCTTCAGGAAGAGTCAGGACTTAGGACCCAGGCATGAGCCTGGCTCTGTGTAAAGTCCAGCCTTGGGCACGACACCGGGCCAAGCCTCGGGGTCCTCCCTGGGAGGATGGAGGAAGGATGACGCTATTGTGAGAACTGTCCGATGACATGTGTCCAGTGTCACGTGCGGTGCCCGGAACAAAACAGATGCTCAAAAGATGTGAGCCGCCCCTGTCTCGAGGAAGCACGTGCTTGATGACTCACGCCAGAGCCGACATGCTTGGCGCCCCGTCTCCCCACCTGCCCCCCGCCCACCCGGGGCCACTCTCAGTTAGAGAAGCTGGCGGCTGTCATCATCGGGAGCACTGCAGAGATAAAGAGGGCTCGGAACTAACAAGTGCTGAGTCCTTCCAGCAGGGCCCTTCCCCAGGGGCTGCCAGGGGTGTGAGGGAGCACCCTGTGGTGGTCCATTTGGGGGTCATGAGGAAGAAGAAGGCTGAAGTCGGGGCGAGTTAAGAGTGATGGGAGGTGAAGGAGCAGGGAGAGCAGAGGGTCAGAGGTGGCCCGTGGGCTGTGAGGCTCGTTCATTCTAGACGGAAGCATCGGGGAGGGGGAGGCAGGGGGTGGACGAGCAAGGCCATGAGACAGGGGACAGCATGGCGGGGGCCAGGAGGCGCCCGTGCAGCGAGGGGCAGTGAGGGGCCAGCGACGGACACTCCGTGAGATGGCCCGAGGGCACTTACTGGGAGATGGTGCCCGTGGTGGTGGCGCTGACCACCCACTCCAGGTCGGTGGTCTTGAAGGGGACCAGAACCATGCTGACGTTCTCTGCCAGCTCCCGGAAGCTCTCGGGGTACACGAGATGGTGGGTGGTCTTGCTTCCCACGTGGGCCTCGAATCCCGCAGTGGGGGCCTTGTTCATCCTGAGAGGGGACGGGAGAGACGGACACGCATCACGTCTCATGGGCACCGGTTCCGGGGACAGCTGAGTTCCGCCAGCCTGCGGCGTGACCTCATCTGCAAAATGGACGCGGTGCAGACGCAGCTCGGAGCCTTTTGCTATGATTTCCTCTTTTATTATCGCGAATGAGCCCAACTGTCGCCACCACTGACGACCTACTAAGTGCGAGGCACTGCCGTGGCCGAGTGACACTCTTCGTTAAACCGTAATGATAGCCGTGACCAGTAGGTAATTTACGGTCCCATTTTATGGTTGAAGAAATCAGAGCCCAAAGACTCTGTCCCAGGACACAGCCTTGAACTCGGGTCTGCTGACCCTGAACGTGACCCTCGCCCCCTCGCCATGGACATTCCCATTGAACTCCAGGTATGCTGAGGCTCCAAGGGGCCAGGCGAATACTCTAAGGACAAAGTCAGAGATCACGGGAACAGGAGAAGATTCTAGAAGGTGCCTGGGGAAGGCCAGCCGCACCAGTGCTCGTGTTTCTCACTCTGGGACACTCGTGCCTCTGGGTCAAGTGCAGTGGCGATTACAAGGAACCCAGGAGGGACATGGGCATCTTCCTGGAACATCTGTTTTACTTGGAGACAGAAAAATATATTTTATATTAAAAGCATATAGTCCTATTAAGACCTAGATTACAAAATGGGATGAATCTTAAAGAGGAAACGAGTCTTCAGATTAATCTTGCTGCTTCGCCAGGCCCACGGCGCCACGCTCCCAGCCACGGGGCACTGCCCGTGCGTGATGTCCTTCCTGCAGCCAGAGGAGCATTTGAGTCCATCTCCACCCAGCAGTGCACAGATGGGGAAACTGAGGTCCGGAGGGTGCAGCGAGGGGCCTGGGGCCCCCGGGTGAAGTATGGAAATAGCAGGGCTGGGACCTTGACCTCTTGACCCTGAGCCCAGACGCCTCCTTCAGCTCTCAGGGGTCCGTGAGCAGAGCGAGGGGGGCCTGGGCGAGGGTCCAGGCACTCACCTGAGCACGAAGTCGTGACTGTCTATCTGAGGCCCGTACCAAGACTCCCTCAGGTTGCCTGAGTTGCCCACGACGGCGCAGCGCCGGCAGCCCCCCAACTTCTTCTCCAGCAGGGGGTCCACGTTGCCAGGCACCACTTGGAACAGCTCCTTGACGGTGTCATTCAAGTTATTGGGTTGTTTTTCCCGCTGGAGCCTCTGTGGGCAGAGGACAGAAGAAGACAGGTCATCCTGGGTGGGAGGCTCTGCCACCCTGCTGCTGGGCCCCAAAAATCCAGTGACAGATGAATGGATTTAAAAAATGTGGAGTAGACATACAATGGAATGTCATTCGGTCCTAAAAAAAAAAAGAGAAAGAAGTTTTGATATATGCAATGGCATGGACGGACCTTGAAAAAGTTATGTTGAATGAAATAAGCCAGACAGAGAAGGACAAGTACTGTGTGATTCGACTTATAGGAGGTCCCTAGAGGAATCAAATGCAGAGACAGGTGAGTAGAGCGGTGGCTGCCAGGGCCTGGAAGGAAGGGTGGGGACAGTCAGGTACAGAGTATTCGAGGGGATGATGATCAGTGCCAGGTGTAGGCAGTGGTGATGGTTAAGCGACATCGTGAATATATTTAATGCCACTGAAAAACGCACACTTATACGTGGTTAAGATGATGAACATCATTTCACTATAATGGAAGAACAACAATGATCCAGGATTAAACACCTGCTTCTGGTAAGACCTCCTGGGGCAGCTCTAAGCTCTGAAATCAGAATCAGCCAGGATCCACTGCGCTGCGGATCCTGACTCTGGCAGGCTGAGCCGGGCTGGGCCCCAGAACCGCAATTGCCAAAGGCCCCCAGGCGATGCAGCGCTGCTGCCGGTGTGGGGAGTGCACTCTGAAAATCCCCAGGGCAGTGGCTGCAGCCAAGCTCCCCGGAAGGGCCTCTGTGCACCCCAACACTGCAAGTGCTCAGGACCGGAGCGTACCCGAAGAACCCTCTGCTGTGATTTATACATAGGAGTTCCTCAATAAACAGTTTTCGAATGAACAGATGACCAATATTGTGAATCCTGCACGGCCCACGGCCGGGGGCCCCCCGCTCAGCCCCGGGTCCCCGCCCAGCCCCGGCTCTCACCAGCCACCAGCTGTACGTGTCCTCCTCCAAGAGCGCGTTCTGCATCGTCAGCAGCGGCTGCATGGACCAGTTGAACCTCTCGTCGAACCAGGACGAGACGTGCTGCTGTCCGATGCAGCGGGTACAGGTGCAGGGCCTGTGAGTGTAGCTCATGAGCTTCCTGAAGTTCTCCGAGAGTTCGAGGACCATCTGCTTGGGGAACCAGGTGGTGGTCATCATGGTGTGGGAGTAGCTGAGGAGGAAGGAGGTGAGGAAGATGAAGAAGAGAAGGAAGGTGAGCACTTTGAAGGTCCTTCTCCTCATGGCTGCCATTTCTGCTTTCCTGATGGGGTCTCCCGGCGATGCGCTGGAGGAAGCGGCACCTAGCCACGGAGGAACTTGGAAGAAAAATCCCAGAGATAAACACGCAATCACGAGGCGAGGCGGCGGTCCCCACGGGGCCTCACGGCCCGCTACGGCTGACCTCGCTTCCACTGGGCGCTGGCCATCCCTGGTGTGCTGGACATCGCCCCGTGACACCCAAAGGCTCAGTGGACCACTTGGGGGGGGATGCCTCTTCCTGCACAAAACTCGTCTCTTCTGAAAATAAAGTAGCCAGCTGCGTCAGCAATCTCTAAGCAGCCGATGACGTGTCCTGATGAAATGTTAATCAAACTTCATTCCAGTGATTTCCTTTTCCATCCAAATGAGGCGGAAGGGTAGTTAATCTCTGTGACAGCCCTGGGTCCCTCGGGGGTGAGGACCTGGAAAGAAGGTTCACAGTGCAGGACAGAGGGAAGCTGTCTTTGTCACTGTCCTCCAGAAGAGATGATATGTGGTGACCTTTAATTATTAGAAATAGGTCTGTCCACGTTGTCACCAGTGATGTGGCAGGTAGGCAGTGGGCTTGATGAAGGCACTGAGGGTTGTCTGTCATCTACACAGAAAAGGTAAAAAAAAAAAAAAAAAAGGATGAAATTCTATTACGTTGTTATTTTTAAAAAACATTCTCTGTCCCCTTCTCCTCCGGGATGAATTCCATCATCTTCCGCTCTGTTGTCCAGCTGATGTGGCGGGTGACTAAGGACAATTTATTTACCTTCTTGAGCCTTGGAGTGTATATGTATATAATGGACGGTCAACGCCGACTCTGCAAAGTTGCTAAGGGATACAGAAGGTGTCCGCCCATCTTTCCTGCAACCAGACTTAGCACACTTAAGCGTTCAGCCAAAGTTGGGAGCTGAGTCCATGACGAATGGACAGAGCGCTGCACACAGAGATTGCTAAGTACAAACCGCTTTCTCTCTCCTTCATTCTTTGTGGGTTCTAATTTCAACAACAACAAAAGGGGTTGCTTAGCGTGTTGTCCTGGCTTCCACATACCCTAACATTCAACCTCTACCACTTAGCCTTGGTCTCATCACGTGGGCCTGAGATGGCCCAGGTTCAAGTTCCGGTTCACCAGTTGTGTGGCCTGGGGAAAGTTATTTGGCCTACCTGGCCCTCGATTTCCTCTTCCGTAAAATGGGATACTACGGCTTCTACTCATAGAATGATTGTGAAGATAAGATCAAATGATAGATACCGAGCTTCTGGTATCTATTGAGCGACTGCTAAATTTTAATTTCCCATTTTCAATGAATGACTATTTTTGGATGTTCCCCCAAGAGCCGGACGCGATGGCACATTCACACATATCTACTGTAATCACGTAATCCTCACATCATCCTCAAAGTATACTGCCAGCTGGGCAGCGGTTTCCTATTTTGTTATTGGCAGAAACTGAGATTCACAGAGATGCAGTGACTTGCCCAAGGTCATGGGGGAAGGAGCGAGAAGATCTGAATCCAGACCCACGATCCCCTGATTCCATGAACTTGGAAGGGCTGTGGCATCGGAACAGGGACAGAGGCTCTGACCCCTATCTGTTCTCCGGTCTTCGGATGGAGATGGCCGTCGTTGGAGGGATGTGGAGAAAGGGGAGTGTATTTAATCAAAGAACGCAGACAGGAAGTCCTCAGACGTCCACCACACAAGTGCCCAGACTTCGCTGACGTCTCCCGGCTTCTGCAGAGAACAACTGTGGTCACAATTCCGCACTGGAGTATGACTCCGTGGGCCTTTATGTGGACCGTGCCCCAGTCTCTGTTTGTCTGACCAATTCCTCCCCATCCTCAAAATGTAGCTCATCAACGAGCAGGATATAGTTTTTTCCAGGAAAGTGACAGTTGAAGGGCGATTAGCTTTTCGTAGCAAGAGTGGCTACCCGGAAGCCAGATGAAACCCACGATGCCTCCTTGGGGACAGCCGGAGCTCAGGATGTGCTGCAACCCCGTACAGCTTCCTCCAGGGGGACAGAAACTCAGTTTCACTCATCGGTATGGCCCTGTCCCCTAGCACACGCATGGCCCGAAGGAACGAAGACGTGAACGAAGAGAAAGGCCAGGGCCAAGGATTCTGCGAGGAGATCTGAGCAAGGAAGCGCTGACCAAGAGTCAGGGGACTGTGATCGCCACCAGGCTGTACCACTCGTGCTGTGTGACCGTGAACGAGCTACCTAAACTCTCCAAACCATTCCTCGAACTGGAAAATGGGACCGATAGCAGAGATTCTGCTTACTTCGCTGGGCTGTCACTCAAGAAAGTCCTGTTCATTCACCGGCTACATATCTGCTGTGCCCTAAGCTGTGCCACTGGGCTACATGTTTGGGACACATGATGAAAGGTCCTAGGTGGGAGCTCCCTGAGCATCTTCAGGGCCCCAGTGCCTGGGTCAGCATGGAGGAGAGGGGCCGGCACGTGTGTGGGTGAGGTGGAGACTGCGTGGCTGTGGACACTGTAATCAAGACTAAGTTTTCTCTGAGTGACACGTATCCCACTGGTAGGTCTGGGCCAAAGAGCGACATGGTCTCGCTACATTTGTCTCTGTGATGAGCAGGGCCCAGGATGCTCTTGCTAAATACATCCCAATGGCAAGGGCAGAGACAAGTTCAGTTAAACAGATGACTATTAAACTGCGTCGATCAAATTGATTCTGGGTGAGAGACTAGGTTCCCCACAAGGTCCTGGCTCCTCTGGGACAGAGGGCAAGGCCGAGCTGCAGTATTAGGGGCACAGAGACATCCTCCTCCCATCCATCCGGCTCCTTCCGGTAGCCTCATCTCCAAGGCCGGGGTGCTTGTTGGATCACACCTACCAGCAGATGCTTCTGGGCTGGTATCAATTAGCGCTTTCAAAGCATTGGAAAAGCTGCAGTGGAAAAGTAAGACCACACCCCTCCGCCCCTTCCCTGGCCCCAGGGAAGAAAGGAAGAATGTGTGGCTTGACTTCCCTGTGCTCTGTTATGGGAGGCAGCCCGCAGCACCTAGGATCGCCAGCCCCGGAACCTGGGCCAAGACGGGCCAAAGATCTGTGTCAAATGTGCAGTGAGGGAGGCGGCCATGAGACCCGCCCCCGCCACACCAAAAAAAAAAACAAACCAAGAGGAAGAGGAGAGTGAGGAGGCGAGGACACAGGTCCCCCGAAGTCCCATCTGCAGAACTGCGGTCAGTGCAAAGCCACATACCCAAGTGTTGCAGGAGGCACAGAGGTCGTGTATGTGAGTGACATGCAGCACGGTGCTGACAAAGGTCAGCGCCCTTTCAAGGACTCGGAAAGTATGGATTTCCCTACGGAAAATCTCTAAGAAAGGTGACTCCCCTGGCAGCAGGGGGATGGCTGCAGGGACCAGCACTGAGAGAAGAACTATTTCAAATGCTCGGAAAACCAAAGGAACGGACGGTATGGGTTTTCGAATGCTTAACAAACCGCGGCTGGACGGGGCAGTCATTGTGACCAGGCCGGGCGCCTTCCCAGCTCCTCACACAGCTCCTTGCACTGTGGTTGTTGGTGAAATGTCTGGGCGGACACTGCAGGTTGGCGGTGATATTAGCACTTGGAACAAAGAGCTGCGACCGTGCTCCCCGTGATCTTCCCATCAACTGGGGGAAATCATACTTATTTTCCAACTGGGAAGCCAAAGTCCAGAGAAGGCAAGTGGTTTGTCCACGTCACAGAGCCAGACGGAGGCAGAGCCGGTGCTGTGACCCAGGCTTCCGCCTCCTCTTGGGTCTTTCGAGGTGGCCATGGCTAACCCTTCTATGTCATCGACCTTCGCTCCCGTTCTCAGCATTTTCTTCCTTGACGCTCCTTTGGGTTTGAAAATCTGTCGTCATTCCAATGCCTCGCAGTGGACACTACCTTCTTCGTCCTCTCTCTTGCTGTGTCTAATATGTCTGAATGATACGTTAGTTCTTCATTTCAGTGATCGTATTTTTCAGTTCTAGAATTTCCTTCCAAGTAACTAAATTTCCATCCAGTTTTCTGGGGAAATTCTCCATCTCACCATCTATCTTCCTGCCGTCATTCGCCACAGTAATTCCGAAGTCCACGTCTACACCTGTGACATCTGGATAACATACGGGTCTATTTCTATTGTCTGTTTTCTCTCTTTATCTCTCTTTGGTTTTTCGTTTCTGTCCCTGGGCGTAGTATCTGTGGATACTGTGTACGACAAAAACGTGGAGGCTCTGGCTGAGGCTGTCCTTCTTCAGAGAGGAAGTTGTTTCTTCCTGGTGGGAAGGTAGTGCTGGGGCACATCGCCTTGTTCCAGTTGGGATTGGGATAATTAAGGCTGCATCTCAGTCGCCTATGATAGATGGTTATTTCCGGTTTGCCCTTCCTGGTGGGGCACAGCCCTTCTCAAAGGGTAGCTGGGATGCCTACCAAGCCACCACTTCCTTGCGGGCTGTCATCTCCACTTTCTGGCTTCCCTGGACTGGGAGATTGCCAAACTCTCGGTCCCGCCTTGTAGCCTCTCGGCTGCTCTTTTTGGCTTGGTTTCGTAGGTTCTGGTCCCACGCACCTTAGATACTGGCAGATGCCTTCAAAAATAACGGAGGTGCAAAAACATGGCTCTCTTCTCTGTGGTTCCCTTTGCTCTAGACTCTCGGTTCCTTGGATTCTGGCTGACTTGGTGGTCCTGAATTCTACTTTATTTTATTTGTTTTGTTTTGTTTTTGTTGTTTTATTGCCCAGCCTTGTGAGACTGCCTGCCCAACACACCCAGCTGCAGCTCTCAGCTTGTCTTCTGAGCCCTCCGATGAGCCAGCACACACCTCGGGCAGAAAGGCGGCAGGAGTGTCTCTCATTCCCTTCCCTCCGGGGCCTCCGCCCCTCACCAGGTCCTGGCAGCCTTGGTTGTTCTCCAGCACCTTCAGAGCTGGATTTCTGTCTGACACAGTTTTTATGGTCCTTGCTGGGAGAAATGTTCTGGCACCAGCTTCTGCCACAGCCAGAAGTGAAAGCCATGGTATCTTTCTCCGCCGCTCTGCATGCCTGGAGCCTGGCATGGCGTCCTGCACGTGTCTGGGGGAGAGGGTAGGGCCCGGAGAGTCCCCAGAGGTGCCATAGCAAATCTCCTCACGCCAGCAGAGTGGGCACTCAGTGGGAGGGAAGGGGGCAAGTCAACGGGCCGGCGGGTTGCAGCTGTCATCCGATCTGCCACCGCTGTCCCATTCCGCACCCCCGTCACGTCTCCGACAACTCTGTAAGCTCCAGACCCCCGGCATCGAACCTTTCTGCCTGAAGTTTCGCCTCGGTTTCTTCATCCGTCAGCTCGGTATCAACCTCACAGGGCTGTGCCAAGAAGGACATCAGGCAGAGCAGCTGACACACCTTGAGTGGCGCCTGGCACGCCGCGAGCGCCCCTACGTGTTCGGAGTCACACTGGCACGCCTTAGTGCCTCCGTCTCCCGCCCAGAGCGCCGGGAAAGCCCCGCCCTCTGTCATCCGTGCCAGTGCTTCAGACAAGACGCGGAAGCTGAGCTCGAAAAGGGGAAGTGACTTGTCCCATGACACACAGAGCTGTGAGAAGCGTGCCAGCACCGAGAGGAGAACC